TGCTCTGACTCAGGTTTAGGACCGTGCACTTCGCATTTTTGAACTTCATAAGGTTGGCATCAGCCCGCTTCACAAGTGTGTCAAGGTCCCTCTGGGTGGCATTCTTTCCCTCCAGTGCATCAACTGAACCACACAGCTTGGTGTCATCGGCAAACTTGTGAAATAATAATAATGAATAATAATAATGAAGGAAACCAGAACACATTTCAGTGTTTCAGAAAGTTAAATTACTGGGGGGGATGGGAGAAGGGTATCTTCCAGGAGTCCTGCTGACTTGTGGGAAATCTTGTGAAAAGTGTTAATTATTTTTTCACACAGAAATGTTAATTTCCTCTTAGCACTTTTTACTTAGCTCAAATATAATCTGTTTTTTTTATCCAATTTGTATTCTATATGAGCATCCTCTTTTTCAGTTTGTCTCCTTAATACTTGAACATTAAGATTTTAAATTACCTATTATTACAAACCTGGCTTATTTTCTATGCTGCTTCAGTTTTCACTGTTTCCTCTATTATTTTATTCCAAACCAGACTTTTTTTTTTATTTATTGTCAGTCTACCTTGTATTTGCAGGCCTAGATTTTCTATTTTTATTTGCAAATAAATGGAAGTGGATCCCTCTGGGAGATGCTTTTTAAATCTCTTTTGCAGATCTCATTGAAGAAAAGTCCCATTAATTTAATACAAAATATATTTATGCAGTTTTCTGTATCCCTCTGTGTTTTACAAAGACAGCCGGAGAGAGGACGTTAGAAGGACAAGATCCAGGTTCAGAACTCCCTTGTGTGCCAGGAGGAGCATCAGACTGCATAGAGGTGAGGGTCTCTAGCAAAGTCCTTCCCTTCCTTCCCATCTCTGATAATGATGGCAAATTGGCATTAGGGTTGTAAGGATTAATGGTTGGAAGAATGCTGCTTCCTTGGGGAATTAATTGCTTTATGCTGGTTAAAGCTTCTAGAGGGTGCACTGACTTTCATGTGTTTGCTTTTGCTAAGTCCTGGGAGGAGCTTTTAGTAACCCAGCAGTTAGGAAAAGATCACAGCCCTTCCTACCCATGGCTGGTGGATGTGCCAGTAGAAATCAGTAGCACAAACACAGCATTTTTTTTAACTTAACTTTGCAAATCACAATCAAAACCAGATACCTGCAAATATGCAAGGCTAAGAGTGTGTTTGGCATCTACTTTGAGGGAATTTTAATGGCCTCCACACATAATTTATGTAAGATGTAAACAGGTAATATGTAGAACCATATCCCCTGAATAAACAGAGTGATTAATCTAGTGCTAAATCTTAATTTACAGTCTCAACCCATGAGTTTTCCAAACTGCTTCAGTAATTCAATACGGACGTACAATTTAAAAAGCCATGGTTGTTACATGAGCTAATAATTCTATTCCAGACTGCAATTGTTCAAGTTATATAGGAAAATACACTAACCAAGGATTAAAGTTGTATTTCTTGCTTTAGCTTTAGTGTGCAGCAAATACAGCGTTAAATTGCAGTCTGTGAAAGAGTAGCTTTGGTGAATATGGAGGCAACTTGTGTAGTAATCTTGGTCAAAAATGGCTAATCTTTCCCCATTGAATAACTAATGTTGCTAATAAAAAATCTTAGTTAAGATCAAAACAAAGGTTTTATTATAATTGGTTTGATTGCCTTTTATCTTCAATTTATGTGTCCATGATCCTGTCAGAAATATAGCTGCTGAAGTCACAAGTATTTTTAACCTCAGTTTCAAACATGTAGTCCAATTACAGTATTGAAAAGGGTTATTAATTTTTCAAAAAGAACTGTTTGAATTCAGGATCCAGCTCTGTTTTCAGCATTACATATGAGCATCAGTGAGTGCTGGTTCAGGTGCCACTGCAGGAGCTGTGAGAAGCCCCTGTCCTACACAGAGTTAGAGCATCTTGCTGCAAAACTCCTGACTGTTTTCTTTGAAATAGCCTGAAAAGCTGGTGAATCAATCTAACCTAGTATGCTTAGTAACAGACTTTCCTTAATCAACCTTTTATTGCAAATAAATCACGGAGGATTACAATTCTCTCAACTTACATTAAAGGTGAATTGATTGCTTTCACCAGCCTGTCTGAAACAAGCAGCCTTTCTTGTCTGGCAGCTGAACTTTGAGTGTACTGGTATGTAGTAAATTCAGACTGATTGAATGAGACTGTTTTCTTGCTCATATTTCACCAAGACAAGGCAATGAAAGGCAGCCTCACATTCCTGCATTTTGTACTGCACTCTGAACCAGGCTGGGAAATCTAAGAATAAATGCTGCCCCATTTTAAGGTCATGAGGGAAGAAAATGAGTGCTGTGATTGCTGGGAAAGAGTGAGAAAAATCAGTCAGCCTATGAAATTCAGAGGGATTATTGTTTCCAGTGAGAAGAACATGGTAGCAACTCTCCTGGGATGGGTTTGTCCCTTTTCCTAGTAGGGTTTCATTCTGCCAACCCACTATTTAGCATGGCCACCTGCAGGTACCCTGCTCTGAGCCAGAAGCAAAGGGGGAAGAAAGTGTTTCCTTGCTCCATCTCTGCATTTCCCTGAGACAGTCTGAAATTGTGGCTGAATTAGTGGCTGAATTCCCCTTTCAGTGCATTTCCATGCAGGCACATGCACACATGTACTGATGATCCCATACCGCTATTTGTGTAGTTTCTCTTTTACCCCTTCTATATTCCCATTGCAAAGAGGAAAGTGGATGCCAAACTCTGCACACTAAATACTGAGAGAGAAACCCAGACTCTGCTGAAGCAAATGGACTAATTCATGCTGAGTCTGATGGTACCAAAACATGTTGTTGTGAGTTGAAAGAGGAGTGTCCCTAAAGACCCCAAAGCAGTACTGGGGGAAGAAACAAAAAATGTCCCAAGTGAAGAGCAGTGACCCAGCCTGGGGAAAGCTTTTGAATTTCCTCAGATTTCAATGTCACCTTGCTCCTTTCAGGAGACTTTGCCAATCCTCCCTTCTCACCATACCATGCAGGCTCCCATTGGCCATGGAAGCAGCTGTTACACAAATAAAACTGAATCTCTCAGTAAATAAAATTGCCTTTTACGAAGTGCCATTGAGATGGTGTCATGCTGGGAGCAGGACTGTTTATAAGGTAGGAGATAGCACGTGCTTGTCATTTAGTCTTCAAGCGGGATATTCGCAATGAAGTCATAGAATTTAAGACATAGTGGCGATATAATTTGTCTCAAGAAAAGCTGCTGTCTGTAATGAATGTACAGCTGCATGAAGAGTGTATCTCCTCCTGTGTAGAAGAATTTGAATTAATTAAATAACAGAAAGGACAATCATCTCCCTGATATTTAAAGCTGGGAGATTGGGGTTAAATACCTGCTGTGAACAAGAATATCTAAATACTATAATTTTAGGGACCAAACAAAGGAATAAGTGTGTTATTACGATGTTCTTATGGGACAACAATTATTGTAATTGCTAACAATTAGTAGATTTTTTACATCCAATTAAATATAGATGCACTGAATGAGATGTCACCGCAGTGAAGTTTAATTCTTCATATTTTGTGTCCACTGGGAATCATAATATTTCCTAATGGGGGGGATTCAAATGAATGATTTTACAATCCTCGGTGGTGAGCTAAAGTCCAAAATTTCAGTTTTATTGAAATGCATTTATATATTTAGGACTAATTATTTTAGGAACAGTCTTGTCCATTATAATGCAAATCTGTTTAACATTTCCTTGCTCTGAGCTGTTTATTTTCTAAACAGACAGGTAAGGTATAATTCTTTTATTAGTTAGGTTTTTATAGTATTTGATGGCAATTCATCAATCTGGCTATGTAACTGCATAGTGTCTGGTTTTAGGGTTTGTTGCAGAAGTGGTTTGTATAGAAATGATTTTGAGTTAAAAACTGATTTACCATCTCCCATGAAGTTTCTAGGTCTCTATAGAGTTGCAGTTACCTTCTGCTCTGGCTTTAGGTGTGTGGAAGTTACAAGTTTAGTTATCTCCAGCAGTCACAAAACATTTCTGCATGAGCATGTTCTTCAAAAGGAGAATTTGGTTGGTTGTTTTTTGCTCTTCCTGGATGGCAGATCACCCTCCTTCTCTGCGATTACAGTTGCTTCCCTGCTGCTTGCTGTAGGGTCTGGCTCCTCTCTGCCTGCCTCTGCTGAGTGCTGCCCTCCTGCACCTGCTGCCCTGGAGTTAAACTATTCATGGTAAGGTTGATTAGGGCCGGTTGGAAGCAAATATGAGCTTATGGCAAGAATCAGTGACTGGTATCCTGTCTTAATGCGATACATGCACAGAGAAAGGATATTTTATCCTCTATGGGAGGCAATGGAATGAAGAATGAGTTAAACAGAAGTGATGGCCAGCAGTGATCACTGGGGATTTTGTGTGGATAATCGATTTTCCATTAAATGATCTGATTTTCTGTGAATATGGAAAAAAATCATGACTTTTTCCTCTAAAATGGAATTCTTAAAGGTGGAATGATTATAATCCATCTCCTAAATACCTGACTTTGAGTCAGACCACCTTTTGCCATCTGGATGGCAATATAGTCAGCATTTCTCCTGGTGACATTTTCATGTAATGAAGTGCCTTAGCTGTTAAGGAAGGTTAGATTACAGGTTCAGCAAGAAAGGGAGTCTTGTTCCATTTGTATTTACAGGTCAGTACACTGGTTTAAAAAAGAAACAAAGATGCTTTATATGACAAGTCATCTGAGAGGCATCATGTGTCCTATAGGAAAAAAAATGTATACTGTATTTCTTTCTGGTTCAGCTAAATCAACCCTTTAAAGATAAAAAGAATGACCTGAAAGTTTTTGCTAAAAGAATATACAAGACCAGAAAATCAGTCTATAACAAGTAAAATACTGACATAATAATTTTGGAATACTTGATGTTCATTTTGTTTCCATTTATTCTTTTAGAGCAAAGCTTTTTCTATTGTGCAGTTGTGTTGGAATCTGAAATAATTACTGAAATATTCCTAAAAATCCATCAGAAATCAGGTGTCCCAGTGATCATACAACTCTCAGTCAGTCCCTTGAACTTCTATTGATGCCCGTGGGACCATTTCCAGCCACCTATCAGGAGCTGCTAATAGGAGCAGCTGGACTGCAATGGTCAATAGGGGTGAGCAGGCAGGAGGTTTTGCTAACTTTGTTTTACTTTCCCCATAAAAAGTGAAGCTTTGTAACGTAGTCCTCCACTCAGATGCCCATGTGTGCTGGATGCTACTCACACAGGTCTGCTAGCTTTGCAGGGAACTTGTGAATGCAAAAGGCTGCTGTGCAGCAATTAATTATTGCATTTGTTTTTTTCCTACAGCTGCCAGCATGTGGAGCTCACTGGGGCCTGTCTCAGTGTTTGTGATGCTGGTTGTTACTGCTGTGCATGCAGGAGTGAAGGTGACCCCAGCCGTGAAGTACACGAAGACAAAACCCTTACAGCTAGTGGGTGACAGTGCCTCTCATCCCCCTCTCACCCCTCTCATGGGGAAAAGCCCATTCCCAGCAGCACCAGGCAGAGCCAAATTACCCACCCCGAGCCCTGCAGCCCAAGGGGCCACCACGCTCTTCCCCTTTGAGAACTACACACTCGACACAGGTGATTTCTTCTTCAACTGCTGTGACTGCTGCCCGCCTGCTGCAGGGCCCCGGGGGCAGCCAGGAGAACAGGGACCCCCAGGTATGGCGATGTCTGTCTCACTGTGCTCAGCTAAAGCCCATCAAGTTGTCGCCTGCTTTTCCTTCAAGAAATGAGTTGGCAAGGCTTATGCAGCAAATGCACTCCTCAATTCTCTGTCCCTGTGTCTGATCCCATGGGAGTCACAGATTTCCTTTCACAATCACTTTAACCATGGTTTTATGAATCTGAAATCTACTTGCAAGTAGTTCTGTATCTTTGCTGAAGGTTTATGGTAAAAGCCCATATTCTTGATGTGTTTTTTTTTTTTTTTCTTTTTTTTTTTTTTTCCCTTGGAAAAGAGGAAATTATATACAAAAATAATTTTGGGTTCAAATTTTAAAATAAATACTTGCCCTAACTAGAGGCAGCTCTGTATAGAACACCTAAATATTTTATAAGACATACTTTGTCTGTTTTTTCTACTGCTAAAATACATATATGTAAAGTGCCTAATTCTAATACTGATGTAATGAATAGTGCATCAGTGTGTAAATGTTCACTTTAATAGTGCTAATATTGGAGATAGAAACTACTCATCTGAGGAAAGGTGATAAAATAATGAGATAATTTTCATTTAATAAAATGTACTCGAGAGATTTTTACCTCCCATAGCTTGGGAGGGATTGGCTAAGGGAGATGATAGTGGCCGCAGAGGGAGTTTGCACTCATCTGTCTCTTGAGTGCTGATGGAAAAGTACTTGTGTCAAATTGGTTCTATTGTGATGATCGAAGCTGCCATAGTGTGCTCCCAGATGTGCACTGGGAGTCTCTAGATTCCCGAGTCGATGAAAAAGTAAAAAAAAGATTGAAGCCAACTTGCTTGCATTTCCACCCGGCCTTTATACATCATGGAACTGCCTGCCAGGTTCCACTTTTATACTGGCAGACTTAAGTCTTTTTCAGGAGCGGGGCAATTACAGAGCTGTAGGAACTTCTTAGAAGCACTCAAATATTAAAGACAGATTATGTCTTATGTTTTATGAATGTCTGAGCTCCTGTGGCTCTGAGGCAGCTGAAAGCTGGGGTTTAAAAGTGTCTAACTACAGCCAAGAGTGAAATGCAAAACTAAGATCTGGTGATTGCAGTAGCTGAAAGTAAAATGTGCCTGACTGGGGACCTGCAAGCACGCACCCCACTAACCCTAGCATCAGCAATTCAGTGTTGCCCCTTGCCTTTTGCCCCACTGTAGGGTTTCAGCTGTAGTGGCTGCAAGGTGTAGTGCAGCAGGGCTCAGAGTGAACCCATCTGTCTCACGTTTTCTTTGCATTGGTTGTATGATTTCAAATAAAAGACCCAGTTCTTCCTAGGGTGATGGAAACAGAGTTTTCCTTATATGCATTCCTCAATGACATGTTGCTTAGCTATTATTGAAGATTTTCTTTCGAAAGTTAAACTTTTGAGTTAGTAAGATAATTCTGTGGATGTCATTATGTTACAGGACCTAAGGGGGAAAAGGGAGATGCTGGTCTGCAAGGTCTGCCGGGAACCCCAGGTCCACAAGGTCCAAAAGGTTCTAAAGGAGAAAGAGGTAAAGCAGACTAACTGCTCATTTCAGGAACAGATGCTGTTGTCCTCATTGAATACCACAAAATTATAGTAAAAAATATTTATCAAAGAAAATGGAGCATGCTGATAGAGATTGACACCTTGAGAGATTTAGCTGGCATTAGTGCAGGGACAGTAACTCGGTATGTGCAGGTAGCATAGGAACAGCTGTTCTTAAAGATCTCATTGTAAATTCCTTGTTTGGAATGGGAGTTTAAAAAATGACTACAGTTTGCTTTGGATTAGGGATATAAATAGGAAAAAAATACCAGGGAAGACACACACAGATGTAAAAGCTGCATTTCAATTTAAGTATCTCAGGAAAAAAATAGCTAAGACGAGAGCAATTATTATCCATCGGTAATAACAGAAAGGAAATCCTGCCCTTCGTTTCAGGCTCAGGGCAGTTCTGTCCTTCCTCCACACACCACTGATAGGATCCTGTGGCTGCCTTTGGTCACAGAGGAACACACAGGAAAGCTGATAATGGGGAGTACTAGCAGCATCATGCTGAGCAATTCACTCAGTGCAGTCTCTTAGGCTTTGATTCACTTCTTGAACAAGACTCTTGGCAATCCATGAGTGAGAAATGCAGAACTGTCATCATTTCTATCCTGCCATTAAACACCAGCAAGTGCCTCCCAGTTGAGGTGCTGATTAGAGTCAGAAATCCAACATTCACGTGAGATGCAGTTGTCTGCATGATGGTGCTTGGTGCTGTGAGATTCAGCCATGGCTTCTGAAGACATTTCTTGAAAATACATTGCTCATTTCCAGTTTATTAATGAAGTGAGGGACACGTGCAAAATGGTACCAGTCATCTTCTGTGTAATGATTGCTGTGCTGCAGACAACACCATCAACAGTATATTAATGGTGAAATGTCTTAGGAGGCAAAGGGGATCAAGGCGAGCGAGGAGTAAGTGGAAACCCTGGTTATCCAGGCAAACCTGGGCTGCAAGGTATGTTACATGGGTTGGGAAACCCAGAAATATTGTGCTGACCTTTCCCTTTCCTGTTGATGATGCCACTCCATCTGTAAACCAATCCAATACTAATGTTTTGAATCTTTCCCCTCACACTTTGCTCTTTTCTTAGGTGAAGCTGGAGTAAAAGGCAATAAGGGCAACTATGGCTTCCCTGGCCTGAAGGGACAAAAGGGTTCCAAAGGGGACACTTGTGAGAATGGGACAAAAGGAGACAAAGGAGATAGGGGGGATGCTGGAAACCCAGGAGTGGATGGAGAACAGGGTGATAAAGGTGAAAAGGGAGACACAGGGGAGAAGGGCTACTGCGGGGAGCCAGGGGGAAAAGGTGCAAAGGGAGAAAGAGGGGAAGGGGGCATGAAGGGAGAAAAAGGGAGCAAAGGGGAGATGGGGGTTGAAGGTATTTCAGGGGCAGATGGAAAACAAGGAGAAAAGGGTGAGCAAGGAAGTAAGGGTGAAAAAGGGGACCTTGGACCTGCTGGTGTGACAGGACCTTCTGGGCCCAAGGGGGTTGCTGGCAGCAAAGGGGGCCGAGGGGCTCCAGGAAAGAAAGGCTCCCGTGGGGCAAAGGGTGCCCGAGGGGACACTGCAAAGCTCCTGCGATCAGCATTCAGCGCTGGCATGTCCAAGCCCTTCCCTCCACCCAATGTCCCCATTAGATTTGACAAGATCTTGTACAATGACCAAGAAGATTACAACCCTTCCACCGGGAGATTCAACTGCAGTGTGCCTGGCACGTACGTCTTTGCCTACCACCTGACAGTGAGAGGGCGCCCAGCCCGAGTCAGCCTTGTCGCCCGCAGCAAAAAGGTGGCCAAAGCCCGTGAGACACTCTATGGCCAGGAGATTGACCAGGCATCCTTCCTGACCATCCTGAAGCTCAGCGCAGGCGACCAGGTGTGGCTGGAGGTTGCACGGGACTGGAACGGGATCTACGTCAGTGCTGAGGATGACAGTGTCTTTACAGGGTTTCTTCTGTATCCAGATGTTTTTGAGAAACTGCTATAGATTTAAAGGTCAAAGATGTTACTGAGAAACATGCTTTCCCCTCTGTTTGTGAGAGGAGAAATGAGCTTCAGTTTAGCATATTGGTTTAGTTGGTAGGTTTTGTGATCTTTCAACAGAAACATTTATATTTGCAATATATGGATTAGTTTTAACTAGCAGCCCCAAGAAGTGGCACGTCCTTTGTGCAGGTGGATGATGGCTAAGAGAAACTGTTGTCCAAACACCAGCAGAACCATCATGGGGGGCAGATCTCAGGTTTGTAATTAGCCTATTCAAATTATGTAATGAAACTCATTGTCCAACTGCAATTTTAATCAGTCCAGCTTCTGTAATCCTTGCATGGTCAAAACGCCTCTGGAAGTCAGTACTAAAAACCACTGGTTTTGGTAAAGATTGAAGAGTTTGATTTATAGAGCTTAATCAGATGTGAATATAAGCAGTAGGTTTCTTGAAATCACATGAAAAGATTTAAAGTTATTTTATCATTGAATTTGTATTATCTAGTGCTCTAGACTTTGTCATGAGTTATGTGAAGGTTTGCCTGAAAGAGTACTAGAGCTATTTGATCAGAGTAAAAAAACCTAATTACTGTCCTTAGGCAAAGATATAGCTGAAACTTTCAAAAGTACCCAAGATGCATAATCCACCTTATTAGTCTACTCAGAACCCCCCCATTTCCGAGCTGCTGCTGATTCAGCCGTTACTGCAGAGTAGACGGGGAGGCAGGCAGGCTTTGGCACTCTCCCCAGGCCTAAGGCATTGTGACAGCCCAGGGGAAGTGTGGGCACGTTTTAGAAAAGCTGGCTTGCCAAAATGGAACTGAATCTTGTGAAATAAAAATATGACATTAAATAATCTCTGTATGTCAGATTGGGTATGTTTCCTTATTAATGCACCTTCTGTCATTGCAGTAACTTTATACCACCTTTGGCATATTAGCTAGGGCACAAAAAATCATTCCAATCAATCTTTTTTTAAGAAATAAAACTCAAGTCCCATAGTTAGCCTTCAGTGGCACTTGGCTTCTCAGGCAGTCACAAGCCTGGGACTTGTTTCCCGGTGTTTTGGAGAATGCTGGGCCTGACCCCAACATGTACAGGGTGGATTAGGCTGCCATTTGCATTGGTTTTACTTTCCTTGCTTAAATTGCCATAGTGCTTTCCATACCATATTTAAATAGCATCATAAATCATGCCCCTGTCTCTAATGTCCTCTTTTTGCATGGCCCCAAGATGAAGTGTTCCTGAGACTTTTTTTTTATCCACTGGGAAAATGAACAGCAGAGAACTACTGTTAAATTTTAAGATAAAAACAACACAATTTTAAAAGGCTGGTCCTACCTATCTGGTAAATGTAAAGGGTCCTTCAACTTGTCAGCTCTGCAGCCCTCTTTCAATATCAGCAATTTAAATGCAAGATGTACTGGCTTTGTCAAAAAGTTGGTACTTTGGTGCTTAATCTGAGTTAGTTCCTAAGTAGTTCAAATCCACAGTACTAAGTATATAAAAGATGCAGATTTCAGTTTATGAATTCTCTGGCAGCTGTTAAATATTGAGGATAACCAAGTAGTTGCAATAATAATTTTAGATTGCTGCTGTCACAACACCCTCAATTCTTTTGTTGTGCTTTCATGCTGCTTCGCATATGGCCCCTGTAACAGATGGTGGTATATAGGCATCAGACTAGCAATTTTCTCTTCTCCTGCTGAAGTTTCTTACACTTTTAGTACAAATAACGTGTACAAAAGAAAGAATGAAAAACTGAGGGTCTCTCAAGAACCTGCTCATATCTAGTCCTCTCCATAAATTAACTGCTTGGTGCTCCAGAGAAAAGCAGGGCTGGCAACACCACACAACCATAACAGCACCTGCTTCTTTAAAAAAAAAATCTGCATAAGATACACCTGTGGAGGAGGGAGCCAGATTAGGAGACTTTGAGCTGCTTAAATCCTGCCAAGGTGCTCTGAGAGCGGGTTAACAGGAGCAGCTAGAGACATCTTAGGCTGTGCAAGGTCTGAACTCAAATCCTGGGGAAGAATGTGGGATGCTTGTAAGACAATCTGACTGATTTCTAACCCCCCCCCCATAATGGATATGGGAGGGCTGTGATGGTAGTTTGATCTGGTACCTGTGCTAGGGACTTATTTTATCATTAACCAAATATCAGTGGAAGGGATTTCTGCCTGAAACCCTGACTGGGAACGCAATAAGCATGCATACAAGCTACTGAAATAACACATAGCACTTTCATGCTAATACATTTCTCAGGGTCTATAGCTGTGCCAGTGGTACTTTTAGTTTAATTTAAAGTGTTGACATTTATTTTGAAAACAGTTTTTTTATAATTTAATTAAAATACATTAAGCAAATATCTTGCAAAGTTGAGTGTGTTAAGCACAGTGAGGGGCAGTTTGGATGAATATGGGTCTTTGTAGAGAGGGAGTTCTCTTTATCTAATATCAAATTGAATTAACAAGAATGCCTGGAACATATTGATTCTCTACATTACTATTTTTTCTACTTTGGTATCTTGGCCAAACCATGTGTTGTTTGTTAACCAAAAACTTTTAATCAGAATAGTCCACAGCTGGGCTCAGAAATTGCCTCAAATCAGCTGAAATTTTCCCTTCAAAAAAAGCTACACACCTCCTCCTTTTACACACAGAGATTCAGGTGGGTTGACGCTTCAGTAAGCTTTTTCTGTCTCTTAAAGGCCATATGAAGCTTCCCTGCTCAAAGGGTTTTAGAGCTTTAAACACAGCAGATGTTCAGGATGGGGTGAAATGAAGAAAGGGGAACAGAGCTGCTGACCAGCTGGGTACCTCTGCTTTCTGGGGCCTGGGCTTTACCCTTTTCTGACAGCTTTCAGGTAGCCTCCCCAATACCATCTGCCTAGAAAACATCAATCCAAGCCATTTTTCATTTTAAAACAACTTTTATTTTATTTATTACTTTTTTTCCCCAATAGCATTTGCAATCTCGCTGCTGTGAGGCACTTTGTTGAAGTGTTGTGTTCTAACAACCTTCAACAGAAGCAAACTGCTCTATGGCAAGTTTTGAAGTATTAGAAGAATCTCTTATTTTTTATGTGGTTTTCCTCATTTTTCATTCCCTGTCAGAACAACAGTGAATGAACTGATTGAGGATGTGCCTTGTCTCATTAAGTAGCACTGCTAAAAATGCCAAAATATTTGTTCCATTTCACTTGTGCTTCTAGTTAGCACAGATTTATTTTGTAACACGAAGTGTCTCCTATCTGTGTTGCAATGGAACAATTTGACACTGGTATAAAAGAAAATAAATGCTCAGTGTACTAATCAGAAGAGCAGCTGTTTTCAATAGCTAAGAAAAATTATTCCAAGCTGACATAAGGCCATAAAAAGCAGCTGCTTCTTTAATTAGGATGTGCAAGGCTAAATATGCAGGAGGATTTGAGTACCTTGATAGTAAAAATGTACTGGAGCTCTGCGTTAGGCAACTTAGTCCTCTATGTAAAACCAGAGGAGAGCAAGGGATATCAAATGTTTGGGTCCTGAGCAGTTGCGACTCCTTGCTGTAGCCACTCGTTCTACCTCAGAAAACAGTATGCTGGTGGGGAGGAAAACAATTCTTGATACTTTAATAAGGCTCCTGACACAGCATTGCTCTATGCCATTGCTTTCATCTCAGTGTAAATAAAGTACCTGGAGTGGTGTCAGAGCAGTGTTGACTCACTCTCAAATGGCACAAATCATGCTGCAATCATCTCTAATGAGATTACAAAGCTGTTCTGATTTCCAGAGAAAATCACCAGTCTTCTGGTGTTTTTTATGTCTTTTCATTCCTATCTCAGATGTTACACCAATACTGTAATATCAGCATTTACTTTTACTAAGAGGGTGTGAGGCCCTGGCACAAGCTGCCCGGAGAAGCTGTGGCTCCCCCATCTCTGGAAGTGTTCAAGGCCAGGCTGGGTGCGGCTTTGGGCAACCTGGTCTAGTGTGAGGTGTCCCTGCCCATGGCACAGGAGGTTGGAATGGTCTTTAAGGTCCTTTCCAACCTGAACCATTATAGGATTTTCACAATTTTGTTGGTGGGGCTCTGGTTTTTGCTCAGAGTAACGTAAGAGACACCATCCTACACCAAGTAAGTGTGCTCTCCCTGTGCTTCTTACTTTTGTTCTCTAGCTTTCCAGATGCCCTGTACTCCTGAAGGTCACCACTTTCTTTCAGGCATTGCTCACCAGCTGAGCTGAGTTTGCTCCAGAACAAAGCCCACCTGCAAAGTCTGAGGGCTGCTCTGTTGGTTAATAAAAGAAGTAATATCCCAGTAGCTGAGAATGTTGTCTTGCTTTAGGAGTAGAGACTCTGCCTGGTGGCTTTGGGTGGTGGAAGGCGGATGTCCTTGGTGAAGTCTTCCTCCTGGATTAATGTGCTGTGTCTCAGACAGCAGCCAAGTAAGTGAGTGCTTGCTCATAGACTGTTTTGGTTGAAAATTGATGTATTTTAGTGAAGGCACGCTGACTGCAAGGTAGAAATTCTTAAGTTTGAAAACACAATAATCCAAATTGAGGTATTTCAGCTGAAATATGTCTTGTTTTTTCAGAGATCTGTAACTTTGTTTACAATGTGGCTGCAGAAAGACTTTCTCCCTTGAAAGGAGAAAAAACACCCTTTGATGTGAATTAAAATGGATTATAGTGCAATCACTGCCAGTTACCTGGTATGCTTGTAAAATGCTGGAGCTTCTTAATAGGGGATATTTATCAAGCAGTGCGTAGGATGGTATTGTTTTCTAGATATAGCCACCATTATTTATTCACAGTAAGAGCTCTGTCACAGTTTTATGTGCCCTGTCTGCAAAGCTGTACCTCTGAGGCTGGAGTTTCAGAAATATTATTTGAAATAGGTTCAGAATGGCAGAGTACTGCACCACACAACAATTTAATTTCAAAATGAAAAGGGTTTGCTCTTCATGATGTTGCAAGGTCTCTTTTAACTAAGCTATAGTCTTCTACAGAGGTACCTAAACTTTGATATATATGTTGAAAGTCCCCAAATAATTTCTTGGGGTAAATTTTGTAATCAATTTGTGCATTTTTAATGGTTTCTTTGAAATTATTTTCTTTTTTTTTTTTTTCCTTTTTCTTTTTTTTTTAAGAACATTTAAGTGGGGGTTTTCTATTTTAATGGAAAAGCTTTCTGGGTGTAGTTCCATTTGCTGCAGCCAGAACTTTCCTATTTTGCTGTAGATGGAAGGAAAATGCACTGGCTTTGCTTTAACTAATCTTTCTCAATTTAAGCTTTGTTTTTCAACCTCCAGTCCAATTTGTTTCATGGTTGAGACTCAGCAAATTTTGACTCAAATTAAAAAAAAATAATCATAGAACGGAGATCTCAGAAGTTTTCCATGAAACAACAAAGCAAAACCCAACCAAAAGCAAGCAACAAAAAATGGGGGGAGGACACAGGGCATTTTGGTTAATGTAAGCCTTAAATGCTTGTTTCTGGATGTGCACCTTTGTGCTTGTATGTGCCAATGCACAGAGGTATTTTGATGTCTGTATATTTACTATGGGAAGGCACTGTTTTTACTACTTATGTTCAGGGTGTCTAAATGGTGATTGAACCTCCTGTAGACATAGCTGACCTCTGTAAATCCCATGGCTGTGCTGTCATGAATGTTGGTGGCTGTGGCTAGAAGAAATCACAGTGCAAATCCTGAGATTGCCTGTTCAACTCTTCATCATGACAAGTGCAGTTATTAATATTAAGTATACTTGTCATGTAAACAGGAAAAAATTAACTCCGATCTAAAGGTGCAAAGGCAGTGGGAGAGGAGGGGACAGGAAAAGAGATTAGAATGTCTTATTTCAAA